GAGCAACATTTCTTATAGGCCATATGCCCCAGGCAGAGCACACCCTAGGAGTAAAAAAAGCAGCATGAGCAATGGTGTGAGCGTGGGAAGGAGGCTGGGGCCCAGTGAGGGTCCAGACCTGAGTTTATGGAGATGGCCCAGCAACAGCTGGGAGAATAGTCCAGGAGCAGAGAGAGATGCTTGAGTGACATACTTAGGAAGCATTAGATATTGTTGAGCAAGATAGTAACATAAAAAAAACAACAATCTGGCAATGGTGACTATATCCCAGATTAATCTACATTTTCTATAGTGCTTGTACCTTTCAACATGTTACACAGCGTATACTTTTATTATACTTCTTGTTTTTTTAAAATGTATTTTTATTGATTTCAGATAGGAAGGGAAAGGAAGAGAGAGATAGAAACATCAATGATAAGAGAGTATCATTGATTGGCTGCCTCCTGCTCACTCCCTACCAATCGAACTCACAACCTGGGCATGTTCCCTTGACCGGAATCAAACCCAGGACCCTTCTGTCCACAGGCAGACACTCTATCCACTGAGTCAAAGCAGCTAGAGCTAATACTTTTTGTTTACTACTTGCTAGAATGTTAGTTCCCCAAGAGGGTCAGGGTCTGCATTACTAGAACAGTGCCTGGCACATAGTAGGTGCTCAACAAATATTTACTGAATAATTATTATTTTTCAAATTTATCTCAATACCAAAAATGTTTAAAATGTCAAGTCCTTAAAAGTGAGATATTTAAAAGTAACTGAATTTCTTTCTGTTGAAACTCATCTGCCTGATTTTTCTTTTACAGGCCCTGACAGAGAGAAGAATGGTTGGGTTGGGAAAATGCTATTTACAACAGCATTGGGAAGAATCATTTTACATTGAAAGGGAAGTGGGAAACCATACCGGGGGTGGGAATAAGCAGGAGTTGGAAAAGGCCACATAGTGTTGGCTTCTATTCAGGAACCACTAATGATTTTTCCCCTAAATAAAATTTCAGGGCAGAATGGCCGCTCAGCACATTGAATTTAGGTGCAAACACTGGTTTATTCAACACAGTGTAACAAAGCCACCACAACATCAGAAAAATTGGCTGAATACTGCTGGCAAGTTTTAAAAATATGTGTATTTTTATTTATTTCAGAGAGAGAGAAGGAAAAAGAGGGAGAGAGAGAAACATCAATGATGAGAGAGAATCATTGATTGGCTACCTCCTGCATAGCCACAACCAGGCCATGTGCCCTTGACTGGAATTGAACTTTGGACCCTTGAGTCCAGAGGCCAATGCTCTATCCACTGAGCCAAAACCGTCAGGGCTCCAAGACAGATTTTCATTTTTTAAAAAAAACCATAACTGACATATCAAGAGAGAAAATAGTCCAACAGTTCCCTCTGCTGGATGCTTGTGGGTGTTTTTTGTTTGTTTGTTTTTGGTGGGGTTTTTTGGTAATTTTTCAAATTTATTGATTTTAGAGAGGAAGGGGGAAAGAGAAGACCACCAACTTTTTGTTCCACTTATTTATGCATTCAGTGTTTGTTTTTAAAAAATACATTTTATTGATTTTCTTATAGGGAGGGAGAGGGAGAGAGAGCTAGAAATATCGATGAGAGAGAAACATCAATCAGTTGCCTCCTATACGCCCCCTACTGGGGATGTGCCTGCAACCAATGTACATGCCCTTGACTGGAATCAAACCTAGGACCCTTCAGTCAGCAGGTCGACGCTCTATCCACTGAGCCAAACCAGGTAGGGCATTTATGCATTTATTATTTTGATTTGTGTATGTGCTCTGAACAGGCTGAACCTGCAACCTTGGCATATTTGGACGATATTCTAACCCAACTGAGCTATCCAGCCAGGGCCTATTTTGGAGGATTTCTCAATTTCTTTAAAAAAATATATTTTTTATTAATTTCAGAGATTAAGGGAGAGGGAGAGCAAGACAGAGACATCAGTGATGAGAGAGAATAATTGATGGGCCGCCTCCTGCACGCCTTCCGCTGGGAAACTGAGCCCATAACCCAGGAATGTGCCCTTGCAGGAATGGAACCTAGGCCCCTTCACTCTATCCACTGAGCCGAACCAGCTAGGGCCCTCTGCTGGATGTTTTAATAGAAAGCTAGACATATTGATGTCTTGCAAAATGGAATGCACTGAATGGTGGTCTCTCTAGGGAGAAGTGGGCATGGCAGGAAGGAAGAGCTGAGGGAATGTTTAATGTCTGTAGTTTTTTAATTTATTGTGGTGATAACAGGTTCATCATTTGTATAATTTTTAATTTTTTTAAACAAGAGCCCTGACCTGTATGGCTGTTTGTTGAGCATCAAAAGGTTGCTGGTTTGATTCCTAGTCCGGGTACATATTCAGGTTGTGGGTTCTATCCCAGTTGGGAGGCAACTGATTGATGCTTCTCTCTCACATGGATGTTCCTCTCTCTCTTTTTCTCTCTCCCCTCCTTCATCTCTAAAATCAGTAAAAAATATTTTTTTAAATAGCTTTTAGCCGAAACCGGTTTGGTTCAGTGGATAGAACATCAGCCTGCGGACTGAAAGGTCCCAGGTTCAATTCTGGTCAAGGGCATGTACTTTGGTTGCGGGCACATCCCAAGTAGGGGGTGTGCAAGAGGCAACTGATCGATGATTCTCTCTAATCATTGATGTTTCTAACTCTCTATCTGTCTCTCTTCCTCTCTGTAAAAAATCAATAAAATATATTAAAAAAAATAGCTTTTAAACAAGATGCAAAATGTCATATACAACATTATGTTAATTTAGTTAAAATTATATCTATATGTATATGTTTAGGTAGAATCACAGCAGAAGTCAATCGTCTTTCATTTTGGCTGTAAGGATTATAATACTTATTGTCTTTATGTTCTTTTGTGTTTATCTGACACCACACACAGTTATTGTATTATTGACTATATTCCCTATGCTGCACTTTACACCCCCATGACTACTGTGTAACTACCAGTATGTACTGCTTAATCCCTTTGTCAACCACCAGTCTGTTCTCTATTTCTATGAGTTGGTTTATGTTTTGTTCATTGACTTTGTTTTTTATATAAGTAAAATCATATGGTATTTGTCTTTGACTTAATCCACTGAACACAATACCCTCTATGTTATTGCAAATGGTAAAAAAAAATTTTATGGTCAAGTAATATTCCATTATATATATGCACCACTTCTTTATCCATTCATTTATTGATGGGCACTTAGGTTGCATTTATATCTTGGCTATTGTAAATAATACTGCAATGAACATAGGGATGCAACTGTCTTTTCAAATGAGTGTTTTGGGTTTCTTCAGATAAATACCCAGAAGTGGAATTGCTGGGTCCCTCTTTGACTCTGTTTTATAGGCTATTTTGTGTGGTATAAATATTGCTATCCCAGCTTTTTTTGTTTGTTTGCATGAAATATCTGGTATGATCTGAAGCTGGTTGTCGGGTATTTGTTCTGGACCCTCTTAGGAGGGACTTAGATGCAGGCCAAGGTCAGTTGCTGCCTGTGCCTTGCCTGGGGCCACTTAATATGACCTACAAAGTGGTTTGCAGATGGTTGCCATTTGTGCTGGGCCAGGGAGAGGCTAAACTGGGAATTGAGGCCAGCTACTATTGCTGGGCTTGGGGCTGTTTAACAAGAGGTATGGGGCACACTGAGGCCAGATGCTGCTTATATAGGGTTTGTGAATCTTTGAGAGATTTTAGGAAAAGTCCGCAGTGAGCAAAGACAGGCCATTTGTATGGAAAAACTACTGGCTGGCCCACACTTTATACACCATTATCCTGTATTTGCCTATTTACGTTTACCAGAGAGTTTTGTATTTTTGTATGCTTTCATGTTGATAAAATCTCTTCATTTCAATTTATAGGACTCCCTTTAGCATTTCTTGAAAGGCACACATCTAGTAATGATGAGCTTCCTTAGCTTTTCATCTGGAAAAGTATTTCTTCATTTGTGAATTATAGTTTAGCTGGAGAGTATTGTCAGGTGTTTTTTCTTCTTCTTAGAACTTCGTATATATTATCCCACTCCCTTCTGGCCTCTATGGTTTTTGCTGAGAGATCTGATTATTTTATGGAAGCTCATTTGTAAGCGATAAGTCACTCTCCTTTTGCTACTTCAAGATTCTGACTTCTGAAAGTTTCTGGATTTCTCATAAAAGCATTTTGGCCTCTATATTATTGTTAAGTTGGTGTCTCTGTGGGGAAAGAGCGTAGGAACTTCCTACCCCACTATCTGGTTGTCACCTTCCCTTAATATTTTAAAAAATATATATATATTATTTTTATAGAGGAAGGGAGAGGGATAGAGTTAGAAACATCGATCAGCTGCCTCCTGCACACAACTACTGTGGATGTGCCCGCAACCAAGGCACATGCCCTAGACCTGAATCAAACCTGGGACCCTTTGGTCTGCAGGCCGATGCTCTATCCACAGAGCCAAAGCAGTCATGACCCCTTAGTATTTTAACAAGGGAAACAGGACCAGGCTAAGTACTATGAAGTAGGGTATAGCCTTTATTATAAGGCCTTACAGATGAGAAAGCCAATGCACGCAGAGAGGTGACAAAGCCAATTAGCAGATATATAGGATCGTGTGTAAAAAGTGACTGCTGTGTAGTAGGCACTTACTTAAAACTGGAAACTAATTTTATTATTTCTTTGATACTAACATTCGAGGTGGGGAAATTATTGGAGATTATCGTGTTGTGCCCAATGTAACCACAAGGATCCTTCTAAGTAAAAGAGGTCATGAGCCAAACAATGTGGCTTCTATAAACCGAGAAGGTGTAGGAAACTGATGCTCTCCTGGAGCCTCCACAGGGAACGCAGACCTGCTAACACTTAGAACAGTGAGACCTATTTCTGGGCTTCTGACTTCTAGAATTGTAAGGAATTTGTGTTGTTTTAAGCCACTAAGTTTGTGGTAATTTGTTATAGCAGAAACAGGAAACTAATACAGAAATCTGAGTTAAAAAAACTAAAAAGACATGTCATGAAATTACTTAGGAAATATTTTATTGTATAAAATATACATTTGTTTTATATGATGAAAAGCATAGCAAAACCAATCTTTTGCTAATCCATTTTTTTCTGTAAAGAGTTAAGATTTATTTTCTAATACATCAGATAATACAACTTTTATACAGTTAACAGTTATGTTGGTAATAAGTGTCTTGGGACATAAGGTATAAAAATTAAAACAGATCAGAAAAGCGCAGGCGGAAGACCACTGCCAAAGAGCAATCTCCAAGAACTCGGTATTTTCCATGGCAAGGCAGATGCTGTGGGGTCGTCACTCTGTAACCGAAGAACAAAGTTTTAATCCTTCATCTTTACCAACAAATTACCTTTTAACATGTAAGTATCACATGTTAATCCCTAGTTTTTTGTTTCCTTCCTTTTGATTACAACACTTCTAGCTCCATTTTATTGTAAGGAAAAACAAAGCAATAAATTTCTGTCTTGATGTCAACTTAAGTTTCCTCAAGTTTCAAATCATAAAAATATGCCAGAAAGGCTGCGTATAGATTCCACCAAGTAAAATCAAGTTCAAAAGAAATAGGTATTAAAAAAAAAAAATCAGCCGAAACCGGTTTGGCTCAGTGGTAGAGCGTCGGTCTGTGGACTGAAAGGTCCCGGGTTCGATTCCGGTCAGGGGCATGTACGTTGGTTGTGGGCACATCTCCAGTGGGGGGTGTGCAGGAGGCAGCTGGTCGGTGTTTCTCTCTCATCGACGTTTCTAGCTCTCTATCTCTCCCTTCCTCTCTGTAAAAAAACAAACAATAAAAATATATTAAAAAAAATCAGTGCTATCAATATATCAATTTTTTAGCAAAATCATAAATTAAAAAGACAGTTACCTACCCTATAAAACAGCCTTATGGGATTTAAAGGCTGATTTCTCTGAGTGTGATGTTCTTATTTCATAATAGAGAAAAGTATTTTAATTATAATGTGTATTCAATAGCTACAATATTGCTCATATAACAATACCTTTTGTTTTCTAAAAAAGGAATCCTGAATTCCAAAAAGAACTTGTTTATTTTCATAAGAAGCTTTTTGGTATAAATGTAATATGAACAATGAATATAATGAAGTACTTAAGATATTCATTTTTTGGAGAATCAGCCTTAATGAAACATCTGTAAACAGCAGGTTGGTTAACTGCCAACCTTTAAAAAGTTCAGTTAAAATAAACTTTACGTAGAAACACGTTTATATTCAACATTAACTTTTACTTATTTGGTCTACTTATACAGTATTTATATAAAATACAAGTTTATTAATATATAACCAGAGAAATCAGAGGCTCAAGCTATAGGAAAAACTTACATGTGGTTTGATTATCTGAAGCCATTCATTAAGATATTCAACAAGACCTAATGCATCTGGAATATTATCTCCTTCTGAAACAAATTTTAGCAGAACAGCCATTGGGATTTCTTTAGAACAGCTACAACAAATTAAAAAAAAAAATTTAAGTATTCTGATAAAAGACGCTGATTTCAGCTAAGAACTTTGAGCATGTAATATAGCTAAGATAATCTAGGTTTTGGGCAAGGAGAAGATACCCGGATGAAATCACTTACCTATCTCCTGTTACGCAGCTACATTCTTCTGTTTGTGCGGATAGGACTTAGAGCCACCCACGTAAGCCCACCTAGGCATATGCAAGTTTGTGCCTCACACCAAGGAGTGAAAAACCACTCCTCTAAGCTTGGTTATAGAACATGAGGTATGTTCTGATCTACTCCTAAAACCTACTGTAGAAACAGCTATTTTTCAGAAGCACCACAGCAGAGACTGAAAGATTTTAACATCTTTAAAAAAAAATAAAATAAAATAAAAAAATATCTATATCTATATCTATATCTATATATATATAAGTGATTTTTCATAGAGAGGAAGAGAGAGGGATAGAGAATTAGAAACATCAATGAGAGAGAATCATCGATTAGCTGCCTCTTGCACACCCCCTACTGGGGATGTGCCTGCAACCAAGTTACATGCCCTCAACTGGAATTGAACCCGGGACCCTTCAGTCTGCAGGCCGATGCTCTATCCACTGAGCCAAACCGGTCCCGGCAACATCTTATTATTCAAAAGCAGCTAAAGAAAACTGTGGAACAAAATAAGGAGGTAGGGGCCGTGAAACCTTACTATTACTTCTTACATTTATTGAGTGATTATTATGTGCTAAGTAATGTCTGCATATTTTATTACTTAATCCCTACCACAATCATTGAGAGAGTTATAATTATACAGATTTCATAAATCAATCAGTTTGGAATAATGGGAACAAGGACAGAGTACCTGGATTCAACTTCTAGCTCTGCCACTTACCAGATTATGTCGGGCAAGTTACTTAATCAAGGCTTTCGTGTTCCTCTTCTGTAAAAGAGGGATCATAACAGAACTGACCTCATAGGGTTGTTGTGATGTTAAAAGGCAGCAGTGATGGCAAAGTGCTTAAAACAGTGCCCATACTTAATGTTAGCAATTAATTATGAGGTAACTTAGGTTCACAGGAATTTTAATATAGTTAACAGGTTCAAAGTTCTGTATGTAGGAAGTGGCGGAGGTGGCACTTGAAGCGAGGTCTTTCTGACTCCAAACATAAGTTGTCTAATTGCTATGTTATACAATAAATGCCTCAAACTAGTAACAAGATGGAGATCTTACCAATGCAAAAAGCTTCCTGTTTGCCAACAAAAGAAAAATTAATTTCTAACACTCTAAAACCAAGCACCATGAGAAAAACTGTACCAAAACTTGAGAGCACATGACTGACAGAGCTTCAGATTTAAGATGTGGAGGAGAATTTGACGTTTCAGTTCAAAGGTCTCAGCTGTACAGGGAGAGCCTATCACAGCATTTCAGCTTAAAAATTAGAAGCTGGAAGTTGTTAGCACTAATTGTACCATCTCAGTACACAGTTCTGAAATATCTTAGGGACTCTCTGGCTTTGTATGGAAGAACTGTGAGCAGTGTTGGCTCAGAAGATTTTAGTTCCTGAATACTCAGGTCATGATAGCCTTAGAATGGCTCATGCTGAGAGAAAGCCAGCCACCCTGGTGTGCCTTCATTTTAAAGGCTCTAGCTTAACAAGTGCTGGGGTATGGTCTTAAACCTACAGTGCCCCACACTACTACTTTGTAATAAAAATCTATATATATAAAAGTGAGGACATTACTACTGACTTTACAGAAATAAAATAGGAATTATTATTTAATGCAACAGGTTTTCTGTTTAAAATGATGAGTGTTCTGAAAGTGATGATGGGATCACAACACTGTGAATGTATTTAATGCCACTTAATTGTACACTTAAAAATGGTTAATGCGCCGAAACCGGTTTGGCTCAGTGGTAGAGCGTCGGCCTGCGGACTGAAAGGTCCCGGTTTTGATTCCGGTCAAGGGCATGTACATTGGTTGCGGGGACATCCCCGGTTGGGGGGTACGCAGGAGGCAGCTGGTCGATATTTCTCTCTCATCGATGTTTCTAGCTCTCTATCCCTCTCTCTTCCTCTCTATGAAAAATCATATATATATATATATATATATATATATATATATATATATGTAAAATGGTTGTTATGTATATTTTACCACAATTAAAAAAAAAAAGATTATTGCTGAAACCAGTTTGGCTCAGAGGATAGAGCGTCGGCCTGCGGACTGAAAGGTCCCGGTTTTGATTCCGGTCAAGGGTATGTACACTGGTTGCGGGCACATCCCCAGTAGGGGGTGTGCAGGAGGCAACTGATCGATGATTCTCTCTCATCGATGTTCCTAACTATCTTTCTCTCTTCCTCTCTGTAAAATATCAATAAAATGTATTAAGAAAAATATTATAGCCCAGTTGGCATGGCTCAGTGGTAGAGCATTGACCTGTGAACCAGGAGATCATGGTTCGATTCCCAGGCAGGGCACGTGCCCAGGTTGTGGGCTTGATTCCCAGTGTGAGGTGAGCAAGAGGCAGCCAATCAATAATTCTCTCTCATCACTGATGTTTCTCTCCCTCTCCTTTCCTCTCTGAAATCAATAAATATAAACAAATAAAAACAAAAACATAAACAAACCCAAACCAAAACATTAAAAAAAAGAAAAAAGAAAAAATATTATAGAGGTTGCACTGAATAAGTATCAGGATCCCTAACATGCCACACATAATAAAGTGCTAAATAAGGCTTTTCAGGACCTATTCTCCTATAATCAAATTTCAATCTTTCCCCTGAATGTAATTTCCATTTTATAAATATACTAGAGGCCTGATGCATGAAATCCATGCACCGAGGGGGTGGGGAAAGGTGGCTTGTCCTTCAGGCTGGCCTGTGCTCTCTTGCAGTCCCAGTCCAGGACCCCTCAGGGAATGTCCGCCTGCCAGCTTAGGCCCGGTCAAGGGGGTTGGGGGATTTCCCCTCCCTATCCTCCGATTCCTTTCAGGGATCGGGCCTAAGCCAGCAGTCAGACATCCCTCTCACAATCCAGGGCTCTCACAGTCTGGAATCCTCACTCCTTACCACCCACCTGCAGTGGAGGAAGGAGGGGCTCCCGTCACCACCTCTGGGCTTGCCAGCGGTAAGCCTGGCTTCTGGATTTGCATATTACTCTTTTATTATATAGGATTTTCAACGTTTCAATAAGCAATCCAACAATTCTCCAAATTATCTTACTTTCATTTTTAAATTAAGCAGGGAACAAATGAACAAAGCGGCAAACAAACTCACCTTTCATCATAGAGTGTTTTTGTGATACCTCCTCCAGGTATACGGATGCAATACTCAGAATCACTTATTTCAGGAATGCATGGGCTTTTTTCCATTTCTGCCCAGTTAAGGCTTTTTATTTTATTTTGAACACTTTTTTGCAGGGAAGGTGTAAGTAGATACCTAAAGGGAGTACTAGAAACCATTACATAATTAACTTTCTAAAAATTCACCAATATAAACATGAAGGCAAAAATCAGTTTTTTTAGAAAAAATTATCTTACATTCTCTATACCATTGCACAAGGCAAACCTAAGTTGTAGTAATCTTTGGAAGAATAACATGTAAAAAATATTGCTCTGACTTGCTATTTACAGAGAGATGGTAAAAAGATAGGAATATTTAAACTAAGGTAAGACCATCATGAAGATAAATTTAGTTTTCACAGCTATGCTTCCTTATGGCCATGAGGCCTATTGTGAGATTCCTAGAAATTAGTTCCAGTTTTGAAAGGTTACTCTTGGTTGATACTTTTCATCATGCTTTTATAGGTGCATAAATGATCATGTAATAAAATAGGTTATATTGCTATTTCTTGGATACTTTGTCTTATATTAAATCTAGGTACCCTTTCTCCTCTCTGTGATATTTCTCCCGCTTAGCTCTGTGATGTTGCATGCACAGTACCACACAATCAAAGCACAGTTCCAGAACCATCTGTGTGTGTGTGTGTGTGTGTGTGTGTACACATATATATATTTTTTACTGTCCTAAGTTGTTCCTTAGGTAAGAATTTTACAAACATTACTTCTATCAGCAGTAATGGTGGAGCCGGAGAGTATTGCGCCTTCTCCAGGCTGCACAGCAACCACCACCAATAGTGTGGTGGGACTTGTGGCCCTTCCCAAAGCCACAGTGTTTGCGGCCGGCAGATGTCAGCCCTCGCATCTCCCTGTGCTTGTGGACTGGTTTGGTGATCCAACGGGTGTCAGGATTTCTTATGGAAAGGATCAATGAGGATAACCTCAGAGAATTTGTACGTGGAATCTTCACCCACCCAGTAAGAATTCAGGACTCTGAGAGTCCTACAGTGGCGTCCAGCTCGCTCCTTGGCAACAGACTTAAGACTTTGAGCAAACTTTAGCTGGTCAATTCTGTGATGGAGAGGCTTGCCGTAGGTCGCACCCTTAGGAACAGGCGTTTATGGCCACCACAGCACAAAGAAATCTGATATATTGCATAACCCTGCTTGACCTTGTAGCTCAGCCTGTGCACTTTGTCGAGCTGGGTGGGCATGGGGCTCTGTGGAGTGCAGAGCTGGTGGTACTGCCAGCAGCGCACCCTGAGAAAGAAGCCATTGCACTAGACTGCTCCTTCCTCCATAGCTCCTGGATGGATTTGTAAGCGCCCATCTTGGTTTGCCTGATGGCTGCGGCCAGATGGAAAAACCAGAACCATCTGTATATTTACACCAAAGCTTTCCTTGTGCCCCCAACTAAGGAACTGAAAGAGTCTACCTAATTGTACTCCCTCCTATCTCTTGACTTTCTTTTACCTTCTTTATAAATTTCAGAGAGAGGTAAAGATAATACATGGCTTGTAAAACTTATTTTAACTTTTTAATAGATAAATCATCATAATATTGCATAATCTTTACAAAAATATTTTTTCAAAGGCAAAAACATACCTGCGAAGCTGTAGATCATTACGGTGATATGAATGACTGCTTGAAAGAACAATAACTTTGGCAAGGTTACTACTTTTCACCCATGAAAGCAGTTTTTCACAGAATGGCTTTGATTTATACTTTGTAAATGTTGGGGGGGGGAAAAAAGAAAATCTATAAGTTATGTCCTACAGTATAAAAGGATTCTCTATAATATTTCATCAACTTTATCTCATGATATATAACATAAATACACTAAAATTAGAATTGTTTTAAAATCCACTTATAGTCCTTAAACTGAAGATGAAAAATGAAGAGCAATGAATTACATATTATATCTTTACAATCTATATACTACCAGCCTAAGCAACCGAACGACCAGTAGCTATGACAAGCATTGACCACCAAGGGACAGACACTTTAGCGCACAGGATTGGGTTCCCTCCTATCTCAATCAGGCTTGCGAGGATTGGGCTGAAACAGACTATCCCACTGAGGGGTCCTGGATTGCAAGAGGGTGCAGGTCAGGCCGAAGGACCCCACCAGTGCACGAATCTGTGTACTGGGCCTCTAGTTTAGAAATAAATTGTGAGGAATCTAGATTTTTTAAAAAATTCTATTTTGACTAACAAAGGAAAATTTCCAAATACTCCAATTAAGTAATCCATTATTACTTAAAAAAGGTCTGACCTGGCCGAGGCTGGTTTGGCTCAGTGGATAGAGCGTCGGCCTGCGGACTGAGGGTCCTGGGTTCGATTCCGGTCAAGGGCATGTAACTCGGTTGCAGGCACATCCCCACTGGGGGGGTGTGCAGGAGGCAGCTGATCAATGATTCTCCCATCGATGTTTCTAACTCTCTATCCCTCTCTCTTCCTCTCTGTAAAAAAAAAAAAAAAAAGTCTGACCTGTATTTAATCATGATGAAGCAATTAGATGACTCCATTATGCCAAACATCTGGTTTTATTTTCTCAAAGGAGTCAATATTGTGAAGACCAGAAAGGAGGGCCAGTTCTACAGTGAAGGATTCCAACTAAAAATTCTTAATTCTTAATGATATTTAGTATTTTCTCATATTTTATTTTAATAAAATTTTAAAAGGCAAATATAATATGCTAACCTTAATAAAAATGGACCTTAACTGAAGAACCACCAGCTTCTTTGAAGGCAATGAATATACTGTAAAGATAAGAAGAAAATGAAATCATACAAAAGTTAAAATGAAGGAGTTATAGAAATAAAACTATTAGCCACCCAAGTACCTGTAAATAGACAAAAGGATAAAGAAGTTGTAGTACATATAAACAATGGAATATTATTCAGCCATAAAAAAGAATGAAATCTTACCATTTGCAACAGCATGGATGCACCTAGAGTAATATGTTAAGTGAAGGGATTAAGAACTTCAGATTGGTAGTCACAAAATAGTTCTGGAATGGAAAGCACACCCGAGGAAACAGTAAAAATAACGTAATAAATATTTGTCAGGTGGGTCCTTTAAATATTGGGGGAACTAATTTGTAAAGTATATGACTGATTAACCACTATGCTTTAATTAATACGAATATTGAACATAAACTGTAATTCGTGCATGGGTAGGGCCCCTAGTGGCTGCCAGTTGGACCTGTCCCCTGGTCAAACTCTTGGTGGAGGGGACAATGTTCCCGCAACCAAGGTACATGTCCTTGACCGGAATCGAACCTGGGACCTTTCAGTCCGCAGAACGCTCTATCCACTGAGCCAAACCGGCTTAAGCAATTCAATCTTTCCGAGCCTTACTGGTATCATATAATAATGTGAGAGGAGGATTGAAACTTAGATGAGATGGTACATATCGATACTAAACATACTGAGGACTGAGCCCAATGGAATACTCTTTTCTCCTTTCCTTGTATTACTGATGCTTACACATGCTAGTGAGAACAAAAAATAAAAATGGGGATAAAAGGAAAAAATAAAAACCACCAAAACACCCCAGGTTAAAAAAAACACAAAAATTTCAAATTCTATCTAAGGGCACAAGTACAATCACACTTCTCATAGGAGTTGCCATTTAGAAAAGGCTATGAGAATAGGACAATGTGACTGGGTCATCAATTCTGCACAAAGCTGGCATCAAGGAAATGTCTGCTACCAAACAATGTCTATGGCGTCTATTGCAAATGTAAAACAACTCTATCTTGCGGTAGAATAAAATACGCCGAAATCTTACATACCTTCAGCATTTATACTGAGTTCTGTTGAATTCTTTTCTGATGTTGCATATGGATTATTTCCAACCATCGGCACAAGACAATCGGTATAGAAGTAACCAATTTTACACATATTCAATGTAGAAATAACCAGATCTATTGCAAGCTGGCCAACATTTCCAACGGATACTGCCGGCTGAAATTAAAAAAAAAAAAAAAAAGACATCAACATTAGCAGGACATTTTTTATTTATAAAATATATAAATAAATTTAATTTAAACCCGGGACCTTTCAGTCCGCAGACCCACGCTCTATCCAGTGAGCCAAACCGGTTTCGGCTGTATCCACAATCTTCAAAACAGTTCATCTTTGGAAATTAAATGTGTCTTTATAATCACTCAAAGTGTGTGTATACATTTTTGGGGGGACACCTGATAGACACAAGCCCTCTCTTTCCCCCAGGGCCGGTGATACCCCCAAGTTGGGGTGGCGGCACCGCTGGCTCCTTCCGAAAGGCGGCCGGCCCCCCGTAGTCAGGCCGCGGAGAGGCCGGGGACTCACCATCAGGAGGGTGAAGCCCGCGAGGTCGCAGACCGACTCGCCGCAGGGAACAAACATGGTGGCAGTGGAGTGGCAGGACAGGGGTAAACCCTGGCCTTGGAGGAAAGAGGGAGGCGGGAAAGCAAAATTCACAAGCGCCCGCAGGGTCGGCAAACTCGCGTCCCTAGTGACGCATGCGCGGCGGGGCCTGGCGAGCGGGGTCCTTCGAATCCCTCAGCGCGGGGTCCTGAGGGGCCTGTCCAGCTACCTGCCGGTCCAGAGGGCAGAAAGGGCCCGCGAGGGAGAGAGGGGTGGCGGATAGCGGGTCCGGACAAGGTGTTGGGCGGTCCGGACAAGGTGTTCGCGCTGAGGTTGTGAGGTGGGAACCGTGAGGGAGAGGAAACGGCAGGTGGAAGCGATCCGGCAGAGCGGGGGACAGCCCTGCCGCCTGGCGGCCCGCGGCCGTTTCAAAACAACAGTTGGGCGCCACCGCCGCGGCGGCCTCGCCTCCTGCCCAGCCCCTCGCCTCCTGCCCAGCCCCTCGCCTGGCGCGGCGTAGCGTCTCCCCCGGGAGCTGCGCGAGGCGAGCGGTCGCGCCGGCTCCGTGCTCAGCCCGGACTAAGAAGGCTCCGTGGCGGGCCGGGGCGCGTCGCGTGGTGGGAGCCCCTGCAGTGAGGCGCCGGCCCCAGCATGTCGCTGCCTCCGGAGAAGGCCTCTGAGCTGAAGCAGCTCATCCACCAGCAGCTGAGCAAGGTGAGGGCCACGGCCTCCCCTGCCCGCCGTTTGGCCCCGAGTCTGGGTCCCCCCGAGTCTGGGTCCCCCCGAGTCTGGGTCCCCCCGGCCCGGCGCCTGTGGCTCCTGTTGGCGGGGGGACTCGAGCTGGGGCTGGGAGACGCAGAGCGCGGGATTCGCACAGCTTCGGTGTGAAGCGGGTTAACTTTCTGGCTCCGACAAAAAGTTCTAGTAAGAGTCCGAAGCCATAGGATTAGAGGACAGTTGTGAAAAGGTAACTTTATGGGAAGCCACATAGAGTATAGGTTGTTTTTGGAGAAGGGTTCCATTCAGACGTCAGGAAATGGAATTGCTTGAAGGAGGAAACTGGAGGTGTCGCTGGTGTTGAACCAAATCATCGATTCTTTAAAAAAAATATTTTATTGATTTTTTTTTTTTTTTTTTTTTTTTTTTTTTTTTTTTTTTTTACAGAGGAAGGGAGAGGAATAGAGAGTTAGAAACATCATGAGAGAGAAACATCGATCAGCCGCCTCCTGCACACCCCTTCTGGGGATGTGCCCGCAAACCCAGTTCATGCCCTTGAACAGAATCGAACCCCGGACCTTTCTGTGGGCAGGCCGACGCTCTATCCACTGAGCCAAACCGTTTTTGGCGAAATCATCGATTCTTAAGGCATGGGCGGGTTTGTAAGGACAGTGTTCGTGCTGTCTCGGAGGTGCTCAGTGGAATGCAATCAGCTGAAGTAACAAAGCTGCCGCTTATTGTGCACGCGTGTGCCTGGCTTTGTGCTGTAAGCATCTCCTGACCCCCCAGGGCACCCCTTTTCCCAGATTTATAGAGGGTTAGTAAGCTAACTGCAGGCCACATTTAGTAAGTTGAAACTGGCATTCAATGCTTTGCTGCCTCCAGGTCTGTGTTCTTTTCATTACACCATACATTTCTCTCAGAAGATTGTTTTGGTTGAGTATGTTATCTGTAGGGAAATAGTAAACAAAGGTAGTATATAGTAACCAGGAGGGATTATTTTCTAGAATTTGCATTAAAAATTTTGTCTTAAGTTATTATTTTTCCTTTTGCCAAGCTACTTTATTCTCATTGAATTCTGGTAAAAATTTTAGGTTTGCTATTAGCTGGCGAAGCCTTCCTGAATTGAGACTTATCTTTATTCTGCCATTATATTTTTGCTTTGTCAGTGTTTTAGAAATAAATTAACTAAGTGTCAATTGCCATTGATTTTTTTTCAGTGTTTAAAAGAAATTAACTAAGTAGCAATCTTCAACTGCTTTGTAAGGCTGTAAGTTGTAATGCGAGTTTTCTGTGTATAGATGGACGTGCATGGCAGAATAAGAGAAATCCTTGCTGAGACTATACGGGAAGAACTGGCTCCTGATCAACAACAGTTATCAACAGAAGATTTGATCAAAGCTCTTAGACGTCGGGGAATCATTGATGATGTGATGAAAGAACTTAATTTTGTTACTGTGAGTAATCTTTTAGGGGGAAAATTTGAGGGTATAAATTATGTTTGGGGGGCCTCTCTTTTTAGTAAAACCACTTTAAAATAAGATCATTTTTGTCCGGTAGTATCCTTGTTTCAAGTATAAGCTAATGTGCCCAGGCTGGTGTGTCTCAGTTGGTTGAGCATTGCCTCATTTATCAAAAGGTTGCCAGTTCAATTCCTGGTCAGGGCACGTACATACGTACCCAGATTTCGGGTTCAGTCTCTGGTTAGGATGTGTATGGGAGGCAACCAATCAATGTCTCTTTCTCTCTCCCTCGCCCTTCCTCTCTCTCTAACATCAATAAAAAAATATATATTTTAAAGTATAAGCTAATGTAACAAGTAGGATTATGTATCAATGAAATTGGAGTTATATACCATATTTCTCTCTACAATGTCAGAATTTTTTCCTTATTCTTTAGGTCTGTAACTTTAAGTATATATATTTTAATAACATTAGTTCATCATAACCTCTTTCTTTTTCACTAGCTTTGTTCTAGTATACTTTTTAAGATTAGGCTTATTTTTTAAATAAGCACTGTTTTGGGACAATATTCTCTGTGATTAAGAAATTAGCAATTTAAGAAAATAGTTGTCTACATAAGAACTTCCAAATTTTTTCATATAAATAGGTCAGTAGTGGGATGGTAGCCTTTCAGTGCATAAATTAGTAAGTAGGCCTTTTTTTGAAAATGAGGCAATAATGAGAAACTGTGACCTCAATACTGAGTAACATAATGTTAAAATTGGATGGACTTCATAATACACCAGGGAATAAGTATTTTAATACAGCATCCTTTTTTGCTTTTTGAGATTTGTAAACCCATTTGTTAAAAAAGTTGACCTAGTAACAGCTTTTGCTGTGTGAATTACTTCCTTATTAAAATCAGTTCATGGCAGAATCAAAAGCCAAATGTTATATGAGGTTTGGAGAAAGATTAACCTTGTTTAAGATATTAGGGATTTGTTTTTAGCATTCTGTGGACAGTTTAATTTCTTAATAGTAGACTTTAGGAATAACCAGTTGCATTGCCTTTTTTGAAGGCTTTTCATTATTTTAATTAAGGGGTCTTTTGAGGGGCTTTATCCTATTTTGTTGATTTACTTTCGTCTTAAGTTCCATTATTGACATTTTTCTTAACTATAATTTTGTTTTCTAATTTGTTCTGATTTTCTTTCTGCCTTTCTAGGATAATGTTGATCAAGAAATCCCTCATTCTCCAAAACAACCAGTTTGTTTTACTGATAGACAATCAACATTGTTAAAAAAAAGTATGTGTATTTTTTTTTTTTTTTTAACATTTAGTTATGGATAGTTCTGAGGATAGATGTGCTACAGTATTTGGTATTTGTTAGAAAACTTCTCAGCTTCCCCCCCCCCCCCCATGAAATACTTATATTTTTGTTAGTAATTATCCAAAAAAACTTAGATTCTGTTTGCCATGAAGTATGTCAGAAGATTTAATGTATAGCACAGTGGAAGCAAAAACACCTATTTCACATGTTTTAATGATACATTTTATAAAAATTGTATAGCCCTGCTTTTTTAATGGTAATGTAATTATTTCACAAGTGCACTTTGCTGAGTTGAGGTAATTGTCTGAGTTGGTTTGTGGAGGTGAAGGAATGTTGGATAAGCAATAACAGCAAAGGTATCCTAAACCTTGGCTCTGACTCCTTTCTAGCTGGGAGAAAGTAGCCAGAATGTAAACTCAGAAAAAGGTATCATACTATGGATCTTTGCTTCCCTGGGTGCAAATGGTCCTGGTATACAGTAAATGCATTATGTTTTTGCCCCCATCCACACCTCATGCTGTCTTTGGTTTTATTTCTGTCAAGTTATTATTTCCTGTTGTCTTGATCACATTTCTTAAGTTATTTGGCAGTTTCCTCATATATATTGCTACACTTTGCAGCTAATATTGATCCAACACGGAGGTATCTTTACCTTCAGGTTTTGGGTGGAAAAGCTTTCTTGGAACATCTGCAAGAACCTGAGCCTTTACCAGGACAAATTTGTTCAACTTTTACATTATGTTTGCATTTTCGAAACCAACGTTTTCGTTCTAAACCTGTCCCATGTGCCTGTGAACCAGATTTTCATGATGGCTTTTTACTTGAAGTACACAGAGAAAACTTAGGTAAGGAGCAATAATAATTTGTCTTTAATTGAGGAAATCTTTGTGAGGTTTTTATTGCAGAACAATAACTTGCTATAAGGAGAGATTTATAATGGATGACCCTTCCTCCTTAGACTTAAAAAAAAATTTCCCCTTCCATTGCTCTTTTCTATATAAACTACTTCTGACTATTTTCTTGCTTATTTTCTGCTAATTAATTTTCCCTGAAGATTATGTTTTGACTGTTTTAATGGTTGGTTGTTTAGTAATAAACATTTAAATACATATTAGGTGCATGATACTATGCTAGGCAAGTCCTAGAGATACATCCTTCTCACTTACAAAAAGTGACTACGTTTATGATATTATCTAACTTTAAAAAAATCAAATTTTAGATGTGAATCTGTAACTCATTTTTAGAACTATAAAATTATACTTGATTCCTATAATTGTTTTACACTGTTTCTTCCTATAAAGTTATTTTGTACATTTTGTCAGTATAGAAATTTTTATAATATATTTGTAAACTTAGCAAAATTGTAGAATTATACCTTCAGAATTTTAGATTACAGGATGGCTAATGCAGTACTAAAATGTATTATTTTTTTCCCCCTGGTGAAAATAAATGGCATAAATTGCTAGCTCCAAGGGGTTGGATCTTTCAGTTTTGGTTAGATAACACAGTGATTACTTCTGGAGATTAGGGAAAAGGTAATTTTGGGATTAATGTTGATATATTTGAATTATCTTAGTAACATATAGTGTAGGAAGTACTTTTTAAAAATATATATATTTTATTGATTTTTTTACAGAGAGGAAGAAAGAGGGATAGAGAGTTAGAAACATCTA